ACTCTCTGTGCCAGCGTAACAGGCTGCGACGCCCTCTTCGTTAGTACACCGAAGCGGAGTCGCTTCGTCAATTGAGCCCTCCCTTTTCTCCAGGCCACGGGGACGGACCAGGTGGTGGGACTCGGCCTCGTCGCCGTTAGCCTCATCATCTTCATCTACTACACCGCCTGGGTGATCCTCTTGGTATGTGTACTTACCCGCCCCGCCTCGCCTCCATTCATGGATCTTGCAGCCGACTCCTGACGTCATTTAAGCAGCTATTATGTGTCAGGAACGCTGCGAGGTGCCTTCCCCGAATAGCTCATGAAATCTCCAGAATAGCCCTACAAGGAAGGTGCTAGTGCCGTCACCGCCTTAGAGATGAGGAAGCTGAGGCTCGGGAAGAAGGGTTGAGGCCAGGGCCATATCCTTAACTGCTACACTGATCCTGATTTGCTCTGCCTTTGATGGGAGGTCTAGTCCTGGTTATCCTGCTGGCGCCTGGGCATGATGGGTCCCCATGGGCTTTGTGAGGGCCTTAGGATTTGGGGGGTGGGGGTTGTTACTGCTTAAGAAGGGCAGTGCGTTGGGAAGGCAAAGTCTTGCAGAACGTGGTATCCTTTGGAGAAAAACGTTAGTAAAGAAGAGCTTGAAGCCCAGGTTGGGAATCACTCCAGGTTTCCTCATGTACCCTTTCCCCCGTGAGGCTGTGAGGGCCTGAGAGCAAGCCCTTTATCCTGTTCCCTGCCAGGTCCCCAGCACTAACTTAGGGCAAGTGCCCAGTAAACAACTATTAAATAAATGAAGGAAGGAAACAACCCAAGGCACCCAAATGGCCATCGTCTTAAAGAAAAGCAAATGCTGTCCCAGTGGTTAGAGTGGGGTCAGCCCCTGAGATGGGGGAGGTGGATGGTTGGGCTTGGGGGTGCTGGGCAAGGCGGGGAATGCTCACCAGAGCTCTGCCCTGGATGCCAGCCATTCATCGACAGCCAGCATGTCATCCACAAGTATTTCCTGCCCCGAGCCTATGCTGTTGCCATCCCACTAGCCGCTGGCCTCCTGCTGCTCCTGTTTGTGGGTAAGTCATCATTCCTGTGAAAAGGGCATTTGCAGGGCGCCCCATGATCCTCTCCCACCCTGACCTTGCTGGACATCTGCTTAAGGCTCCTTGCCTTCACTTCACCCTGGGGTTTTCTTGTCCATCCCTCAGGGCTACAATCACTCTTCCAGATGCCTGGGGCTCACTGGACTCTACTGGGATGTCTCCCCTTTTCCTGCTCCCTCCACTACCACCATCACTGCACTGCTCACACCTTAATCACCTCTCACCCCCTTGTCACCCTGGCTCATGATTCCTGCACCTCTCTTGTCTCCCCTGGTTTGGAGTGTGGGCGTGCTAGGACTGTGTCTTCATTATTACTGTGTCCTCAGCTCCTACATAGGCGATGGCACTAAGCTGGTGCTCAAGAAAGTGGTTTGGATGGGTCCACAATCACATGACTGGATGATGGAGTGGGTGGGTGAGTGGAAGCTGGATGTTGAGTGGGTAGGTGGACAGGTGGTCGCTAGTGAGAGGGAGAGTTGGGCGGATCTTGTATCCTGTAGAATCTGAAACACTAAACGCAGCCAGTGGCTGGTGGTAAGCACTCAGGGATGTTTGTTGAGTGAATGTGGGCGGATGTGTGGTTTGATGGATGACTAGGGAGATGACCAGGTGGCCTGGAGGGTGGTTGGGGAGGTTCTTGACCCCATGTATGGGTCACTCTGCCACGCTGTGCCCTGGATCTTACCTGGCCTTTCTGATCTGTATATTCCAGGGTTGTTCATCACCTATGTGATGCTGAAGAACCAGAAGGTGACCAAAAAGGCTCAGTGAGGGCCCGGCGAGGATGCGGCGGCCTCCCCTCTGGTGCATACCAAGGGCGGGCCACACAGGACCTGTGCAGCCCCTCGAGCATGGCTGCCTTGCAGACACCCCTGGGAATGGAGCTGTTCAGGACTCACCCTGATTGGCCAGAACCCCCACTTCTCTTCTGCTCACTCTTCCAGAGCCAGGAGGAAATACCTGGAACTCCCTCTCTCCCCATTCTGCCTCAGGGCCTGAGAGATATGGTCCTCTCTACCTCATTTCAGACCCCCTGTCACTTTTTCTTCTGGGTTCCACCCTCTTGCCTCAGTTTTCCTCCTGTCATAGGCTCATGTGGAATTGGCACGTTTTAAGGCATCACGTGGCCTCTCCCGCCACATGTCCTTTTTCTCCGCGAAGGCAGCTTTCTCGGGTCTGACACAGCCAGGGACTCCCCAGGACTTCTTGACCTGGAGAGCTTAGGGGGAGGACCAACAGGTCTTGGGACCACCAGGCACACTGGGCCCCCAGATCTTCTTATAGGGTCCCAGCCCCTCAGCCCTAGCACTGGCCCACTGGGGAGAACGGAACAATAAACGTTGATGGTGTGTTTTTCTCTGTGCCATCCCTGACCAGGGGAGCTGGGCTCCGGGGGCTGGAGAGGGGCTGGGAGCTGGTCACTGCATTGGTCTCAGGTCAGGAGACCCTGGTTTGTGCAATGATACCTCAGTGCCTCCTGGATCATCCCTGTGCTGGACACACGGTAAAGCTGGAACTGGGACAGGTGTTCCAACCCCTGCAGTTCGCGGCTGGGGAGTCGTGGAGGCATGGCAACCTGCCAGACCCCGCCGCAGCCTTCAGCACACCTCCCCTGTGTCAGCCCAGCCAGCATGCACTAGTATTTTAGGGACCCTCAGCCCAGTCCCCTAAAAGCCCAAACCTATTGTCCATCTCTCGTACCAGCAGCCCAACTTAGTGTCGCGCTGAGCCAGGGTAGAGCTGGTTCCACTGTGTTCAGGTTGATTAATCTGGAACAGGTTCTGCCCTAGCTCTCCAGCAATCCCTCTGGACAGCCAGTTCTCCCAGTCACAGTGCCTAATGCAAGCCTCCATCCATCACACCTTGAATGTTCACTCTTCCTCCAGTTAGTGGTGGTGTCATTTTCAGAACAAAGGCCAGCTGTAGGCTCACCTGTCCTGCCCTCTCCTTGTCTTCCAGACCAGGAAGAGCTGCTTACCTGGCCCCTATGTATTGCACATGCACCAGCCACCCACCTAATGTTACCATCAAATGTAGTGGCACCTCAAATTCATCCTGTCATCTGAATTCTCAGACACCCCCCCCCCCAAAAAATCTGGCTCTCCCTGCCCCCCCCCCCATGCCCTGCTCCCTCTCATGACTCATTATCCTGTGTCCCTGACCCCAGCCAGAAGCCTTGGCTTTCCTCCCTGCCTCCACCCACAAGACCCCAAATCCTGTCAATTCTAACACATCCAGCCACCTTCTGGGTGCAAAGCCACCACTGCCCTAAATCACGGAGGGCTTCCTTGTCCTCTCTGCCTTCCCCCACTCCCCGCCCCCCAAATTGACTGAATGACAGCCAGTGACCTTTTTGAGACATCTGAGCAGCCCTGGGCAGTATGGCTCATTTGGGCATCATTCCATGCACCAGAAAGTCGCCAGTTCGATTCCCAGTCAGGGAACATGCCCAGGTTGTGGGCTCAATCCCTGGTGAGGGGTATGCAGGAAGCAATCAATTGATGTTACCCTCTCATATTGATGTTTCTCTCCCTCTCAAAATAAAAACTATTCTTAGAAGAAAAAAACACTAGGGGGTAGGGGATGCTGGGAGATTGTCAAGGGTGGGGAAGGAGACATGTAATACTCTTTGTAATACTTTAAGCAATAAAAAAGAAAAAATCCATATGAAAAAAACACACAAAACCCACTAAAAACATTTGAGCATCTTTCTCACTCAATGCTTCTCCGAGCCCCCACGCCGCTCCCTACATGGCCAACCAGAACCTGCATTGCTTGCTCGCTCACTCCACCCACTGCCTTGCTGGCCTTTCATTTCCTGGGACTCACCGAGGTCCTTTGCACATCCTACTCACATTGGTTCAACCTAAACTTATCAGACACCATGCCTGGCGCTGGTACCCACTTCTAGGAGGAGATTTAGTAAACAAATGAACAAGACAATCTCTGACAGAAAATAAACAAGGTCATGTGATCAAGAATGAGGAGAGGGGCCTAGCCGGTGTTGCTCATTGGTTGAGGATCGACAGCTGAACCAGAAAGTCACTGTTCAACTCCTGGTCAGGCCACACACCGGGGTTGTGGGCTCGATTCCCAGTAGGGGGCACACAGAAGGCGGCCAGTCAATGATTCTCATCATTGATGTTTCTGTCTCTCCCTCTCCCTTCCTCTCTGAAATCAAATATATATATAACCCCGACCAAGGTGCAGGAAGGAATATGGAAATGGAAGTCTGAGGAAAAGGATTTCAAGCAGAGGGAACAGCCCCGAGGTGTGGAAGTTTTTGGTGGCCAAGGAAGAG